ACGCCTGTGTGTCCGGATCAACATCAGTGTAAACTATGTAGTTGCTGCCCATAGCCAAATGCAAAAGATGGCCAGCCACATTTTTACCCTCCAGACTATCTGATGGAGATGAAGCCGCGATGGCTTTCTTGGACAAGTTCGACCGGCTTCGTATCTAGTTTATTAGTTGTTTATTTCCTAGCTATTTTATGTTTCTTTTTATTATTAAATAATTAATTATCTTGCTTTCCAAGATAACCTAATAGGATTGGTCTCTATTTATTGTACTCCTTCCATGGGAGAAAAGCAATTTTACGATTGAAATAAAAATCTCTTTGAGTTCTTTGAGTTCTTATTCCCTTTTGTCTACCACACGCTGCATCAGTTGGTATCAGCTGTCGGGACGATTCAAGATGCCGCCAAAACGAAACGACAACGAACGTCGGGATGTCCATCTCGAGGATTTAGATAGACGGACAGATGATCTTGTTATCATCCGACTCGGCAAAGACGCTGTTAAGAGGTCTTAAGCATCCTATTAAATGCGATCAACTGTCAAACCGACGTGAATCAGAACCGCACCGATCTACACCAAAGAACCGGTCTGAACCACTAAAGACCGAAGTGATCAACAACTACCGAGGTCAAACATCCACCGAGGACAACATGAACCGAGGTCGTCACCTCCTTAAGCAGGTGACAAGGCATCTACGAGGGACTCTCCTGCTCCACAAGATCTGTCATCATTTACGTGGGGCCCCCTGCCTCAAACCGCCCATAAAAAGCCACTTTATTCAAAAAGTAGTGCACGAATCCCCATGTATCAACCCGAAATTACTATAAATGGTGGACCTATGACATTTGTAAAGGGGGGGGGACTTTCTTCGAATTCTCCGAACTGTAAACACTTTACTAAGCAACACGTAAAAGCCCATCACGGCTCTTCACCTCGGTTCACCTCGGATCGGGGCCACTGTCGATCTAATCTTACATGCTTTACGTCCAAATTATTCAATATTATCCACGTAATTACATGTTCTATCGTTGTTAACAATCACATAACAACAGATCTTTTGTTCCAAATCGAACGGGTGGATCGCCTAGTTGAAGGTCTTTCTGAGGGGATCGAGGAAATCAGGGCTGCGATACGTAACATGAATGACGGTGACCAGACGAACCGTGACACCTATGGCCGGGGTGGTCGCGACGGGACGCGCGGGCGTGGCGGAAGAGGACCGGTCGGGGGGACCCAGCCGCCGTCACCACGATCAGCGTACGGCCACAAGGATAGCGGAGAGGACACCCTGTCGGACGTCAACCCCTTCGGCGCT